CGTGCGGCGGGGAAAGCTGGGGGGCCCGGCGCTGCCTGCGGTTTTGGGGCAGAGCCAGCCATTATGCACGTGTCAAAGGGGACTTAGCGGCACCAGCTCGGGGCTGCAGATTTGGCTTTGACAGATCAGAGGAGGCAGTTTGGGAGCGTTTTCTGGCTTCTACTTTTTCTTGCCTGGAGCATGTTTCTTCTCCTCCTCCACTGTGCAGATTTCGGCACTCGTCCGAGCCCGCTTCGGCAGGGCGAGCGCCAAACTCGGAGTAGCCTTTAGCCAGGCGCACAGCATCCCCAGAGCTGGCCTGATCCTGCGGCAGCCTGGGAGCCTGTCACCTGGTCCCCTGCATGCCAAGGGGCCTCTGGTGACCGCTAGCCAAGACCTGCTCCCCCGTTGGGGGGGGTGTCCTGGCCCTGGCATGGGGCTGGCGCTTCTGTTCCTGCTGTCGTTGGGGAAGTCTAGTTTGCTTTACTGTTCTCTGGCATCGAGATGTAGGTGAACTGTCAACGTACATGCCTTATTTCAGCCCTGGCACCCCTGCTTCTCAGAACTCATCGCTTTAATTAATTTTAAGGCCTTTTTTTGGCCACTGAACCTTTTTTTTGGCACAGGGTCACAATTTATAGAATGGTTCATTCAGAATCAGGATTTCTTAGCTGCTCTATTTATGTTAAACTTATTATGGACTCGGTTAGTGTATCAGAGGGAACAGCTGTTTATTCAGTTAAGGAAAAACGCCACCCCTGGAAACGAAAAGCAGAAATACAAAAAATAGTGCGATTCATACTAAATAACTTTTCAGCCTTCTAGAAACACTGTGAAGTCACACATTGCCTAATAATTACACTAATAACTTTGTGTGTATGTGTTTCTCTTCTTTTCTGCAGGCTGGTAAAGAACAAAAGATCCAAACAGGTAAGCTTTGCTAACTATTATTCCTGTTGTTTCAAAGGAAGTAAAAGAAATAAGCTCAGTGAACCTGCTTTTTTTTTTTTTTTTAATTATCTTTATGCAGGCAAGCGTTCTCCTGTGTCCTCCCACCTTGTTACCAGCCAGGAGCATTTGTAGCTTCACAGTGATGTGACATGACTTTAATTTGCTTGGCCTCTCATTGTCAGTTCTCACAACCTGGTAAACCTGGGCTTCCCTTCTGAAAACAAAAAAAACAAAAGTTCAAAACTGCAGCATGCTTAAACGAGCCCTCTGAAAGACATGGCAGATCAGCTTAGGGTCAGATACTTTGTCTTGCTCCGTTTTTGAGTCAAGGAGGAAATGCCTCCTCCGTTTGGCCAGGGTGAACTATTATCATCAGACCTTTTAGCTTCTGTATTGGAAGTGTTCAACCTTTTCTTTTAGCTGGAAAAAAAATGAGCCTAACGCAGGGGTCTCTGCATGTTTCTCTTGGTGGCACAGTATGCTGGCTACGTGCCTAAAGATAGTTGTTGACTGTTGCTTTACAAACTGGTATAAATACGTAAGAAGATGTAATAGTACAGAGATGGTGTCCATGATGGTACTGAAATGAAAGCTTCATGTCAGTGCCCATGAATGCTAAGCATCTTTAACTATTTTCTAAAGACAGGAAACCTCATACAATTGAGAACATGTGCACGCAATTTAATTTCAGTAGATCAGTGTTCTTTTAAAATAACAGATCGTTTAGTGCTCCATGGGATGGAAGAGGTGGTCAAAGGATGCAAAAGCTGGCATTATATGCCCCAGTTCTCTCCTAGAGTTAGTATGAGGGTATGCCAACTTACCTGTTTCTTAGTTTACCCAGTGATGAAATAAGCACTTCAACGATTTGGCCAAAGTTGTAAGATGCAGTTGTCTGCGCAGCACTTTGGAACTTTTCACTGAGAGAAGCTGTAGTGGTGAAAAAGGATCCTAGGCAATTGTATTTCCAGTTGCTGCTAGACCTCCAGTTTTGAGGTTTTGATTCAGGTTTTGATTTGAGGTTTTGTTCAGAAAAGAATGTCAAGTGTTTTTCTAAATTTTGGAGGTCTCGTCTCAGTTTCAGTTCTGGCACTGCATTCTTAAGCGCTTAGGTTGATTTCCACTGTGATCAATGCATAATAGGAATAGAGACAGCTAGGTGCATTTAAACTGGCAAACAAACATTTTTTCCAGCAGTATGCTGATGCTGTGTTTTATTTCTGGTCGTTTCCATGAGATATGGATTGTATTTGAATTTTAGTAACCATAAGCTATACAGGAATGTGCCTTTTAAATTATACTGTACATTAGACAAAATTCCTTAACGTGGAAAATGAAGCTTTTTTTTTCCTTCAGCTTCTTTCTGTCTTTCATGGCCCCAGCATGGCTGTAGTCTGGGGACATTTGAGGCACATAGGACTCACAGGAGAGATGATACTGCCCATTTCGGGGTGAATCAGACCCCGAAAGCGTAGCTCCGAGCGACAGGCCTGCGCGCTCGGTGCGGGACAGGTGTTCTGTGTGGTTCTCATGGCACAACAGGAGCCTCTGCAGTTGCTATAATCTTGCCCTCTTCTACCTGGGCAGAGGCAAATGGGAGACAAAAAGTCTGTGTAGGCGCTGCACCGTGAGGCCGTCCTCCCAAATGTGCCAGTAAGACCTTGCTAGGGTGGGAGTCTGCACGGGTCGGTGCCCAGCGAGCGAGTGCTCGGCAGCCTTTCTGTGCCTGCTCCTTAGCAGAACTGCACTGTGGCTTGGTGGCTTTTTGTTCAGTCCAGAAGGACTGGGAATTTGATGGCTCTCCAAGACTGGATTGTCTGTAACCAGTGCTGTCTTTCAGGGATTGACAATGTTTTAGTTGGGGGGGAACTGGCTTTCCCCCCCCCCCCCCCCCAAAAAAAAAAAAAAAA